ATATATAGTAATCTATTTTAATTGCATATAAAAATTATTTATTCTATTTATGTTTCCTTATTTCATTTATTTTTAATAGTTCCGTGCATTTGCACGGGCCACGATGCTAGTATAATGACCAATCCAGCAACTCAACTACTGAATTCGCGTTTGTCGATCTTCCCAACGACTTTCAAAGTGTTATGTACGACTTTGAAATTATAATAAATAATTGGGTTATTTGCCAAAAAACCTCAACCTTTCGTTAAATTGCAATAAAAACTCAACCTTTTTAATTTTGTAATAAAATTTAAACCTTTATTAAGTATTGCAATCTTGTCTCATAATTGAATTCTGGCCAACATCCGCTGACATGGGCCGATAAGAAAATTGACGTGGCACTGAAAATTTAACAGTCTATGCCACGTCATCGGACACATGTACCTCCACGTCACACACCCCTCCACGTCAAAATTTAAGTAACTATTCTCCCTTTTTTTTAAAAGAACTATTCTCCCTTATTTCTTCCCCATTTCGCAGCTTCTCAGAAAAGAAAAAAAAAAAGAAGAACAGCGACGATTTCACGGGCGTGATTTCTTCTCCGGCGATTCACCTCCAAATTTTGGAGTAGTGCGAATTCATGGCTTGATTCACCAAAAAAAATCGAGTGTACCATATGCTTGAGAATTTAATTTCCACTCCAGATCAACCACGAATCCCAGAACCCTAAAAGGTATTCTTCTCGAATTTCGAATTAATTTCTTCATTTGACTGTTATATGTTGGTGCTCAAAGCCTCAAACACACACACACACACACACAGCGAATTATGTTGGTTGCATTCTTATGGGGCTGACCTAATTTCAACTTTTTTTTTGTTTTTTAATGAAAAAGTTAGGTATAATGAAGATGGTAATTTTGTGCTTACAATAGTGATTTTGAATTTGTTTAAGTTCTAATTTAATGAATTTGTTTAAGTTCTAATTTAAGGAACAGATTTGTGGTCTAATTCTTTTTTTTTTTTTTTGGCCTAAGTATAGTGATTCTGATTTTTTTTGTGGTCTAATTCTAATTTGCTTACAATATGAAGATGGTAATTCTGAATTTTGACAAGCAACAGATGGTAATTCGCGTCGCCTTGCTGCCCTTTTTTTTCCTGTGAGGAAATGGGGAAGAATACAGGACTTTAAGATTGATGTGTGACGTGGAGGGGGGGGGGTGACATGGAGAAACCATGTGTCCGATGATGTGGCACTGATTATTAAATTTTGGGTGCCACGTCAATTTTCCGATCGGACATATCAGCGTGCCTGACTGGAATTCAGTTTTGAGACAAAATTGCAAAACTTAATAAAGGTTTGTATTTTGTTGCAAAATTGAGAAAATTGAGTTTTATTTGCAATTTAACAAAAGGTTGGGGTTTTTTTGGAAATTAACCCTAAATAATTAGATAATTGTGTGAAAAAGGTATTTTTGGTAATATTTTTCCAGAAGAAACGTTGGTTACTACGACGCATTGGAGGAATTCAACGACAACCTTTCTTTCATTTTAATCCTTTCTTGCGTGATCTGGATTGGTGTCTGCGGGCGAACTCGACGATGTTGTCCTTCAGGAGAAATTGTTATGGCTCCAGAAATGACAACAGGATTGGACTCTCTTTGGGGACCGAAACACTTCGTTCTATTATCATTTTGTTAAGAGTCGTCGCTGTAGAAACAAGATTCAACTTTTAATGGATTAACACTTCGTTCTATTATCATTAATGTGGCACGGTCGTGACCGATCAACAGACTACGAAGGAAATGGCCACAAAATTCTTTATAGATATCTACATTATTCGGTCGGGCTCGTCAAAGACTGCTCACATAATGGATTCCTATCCGGCAGTCGATCCTTGGAGTTTAGCATCGATTGGCCGCAATTTGTCAGATGTGGAAATCTTTCAAGTCTCTCTCAAAGATGTCGTCACTGAAAGCCCCGAGGCCTGATGGTTTACGCGCATTATTTTTTCAGTAGAAGTGGAGTATTGTGGGCTCGTCAGGTTGCTCAATGATCCGCGAGGTATGGCGGGGCAGTCGGGTTCCGGTTTCTTTGAACAACACATTAATTGTTCTCATTCCCAAAGTCGATAGCCCGTCGTCTCTAAAGTAGTTCAAACCTATTAGCCTGATTAATGTGGTTTAGAAGCTGACCACGAAGGTTTTGGCGGAACGTATGAAATCGGTGCTCCCGACGATTATTAATCTAGCTCAGGCGAGTTTTGTTATCGGACGTCATATCTCTGATAATATTGTTGTGGCTCATGAATTGATTCATTCGATGAGAACGATGCGTGGACGACGTGGATTTATGGTGGTCAAAATTGATTTGGAAAAGCCTATGATTTTTCTCCGGTGGGACTTTATTCGGCAGTCGCTCGAATTAGTGGGCTTTCCAGGTATATTCGTGAATGCGGTGATGAACTGTGTTACTTCGGCGTCCATGCAGCTATTGTGGAATGGTGGGATTTGTGAGGAATTTGTTTCTTCACGCTTCATTTCTCCATATCTTTTGTATTATGCATAGAATGGCTAGCTCATATGAGTGATACTTCTGTCAGTGTTGGACATTGGATGTCGATTTCCATGTGTAAGAAAGTTGTTTCGGTTCCTTACTTAATGTTTGTGGATGATCTGCTTTTATTTGTTGAGGCGACCTCGACCCAAGCACATGTATTAAAGTTTATCCTTTGGACGTTTTTTGATGCCTCTGGGCATAAGGTTAATGAGAACAAAACACAAGTATTCTTTTCCAGGAATGTGTCATCTAATGTGCGGAAGTCGTTGACTAGTCAGTTGGGTTTTATGGCGGTTGAGAACCTCGGTAAGTACCTCGGAATGTCGTTGATCCATGGTCGAGTCATCAGAAATGCGTGGCAGGCTCAACCATGGAGGCTGAGTATGTAGCAGCCTCAGAGGCAGCGAAAGAAGTTGTTTGGCTCAGGAATTTTCTCTTCGTCCTTGATGTGGTACTGAGTTTGCCCGCTGCAATTACAGTGTTCTGTGATAACAGTGGAGTAGTAGCAAATTCGAAGGAGCCATAGACTCATAAAGTGAGTAAACACATAGAGTGCAAGTACCACCTGATACGAGAAATCGTTGGACGAGGAGAAGTCGTTGTTGCCAAGATACAGTCAGGGGGACAACCTAGCAGACCCTTTTACGAAGAGCCTATCAGCGAAAATCTTTACAGGACACGTAGAAGGAATGGGAGTCAGACGTTATAGTAGACTAGTCTTTGAGATTAGATTTAAAGAAATTGTGGTTAGTTTATTTTAGCCATGAGCTTATTAAGCATAAGTGGGAGATTGTTAGAGGTATGCTGTAAAAGTTATGTTTTGTAGATTCTATCAATTTTATTTTGATCTGGCCATCATGTTTGGGTCAAAATATATATGCTTGCAGTTTATTTATGTATGCAATCATACTCCTTCTCTTACATTGAGATAGTGTGGTTCGAAGTGTTTCGAATAGAAAGATCACCTATCGGTTCCTTGTAAGATTAAACTATTCGTTCACAGTCTAGACAGACAGTGAGACCCCTCTTGGAAAAAGATTGTAGTGTATTCTTGATCCAGTTGGTCTTTGACTAGAGAACTACACTAGCACTTATGATAAGTGTTGAACAGGACTGCGGAAGAATAAGATTATGAGACTCACTGGTCGTTATTGTAATCTAGACCTTCGGTGATTGATGCGTTCTCTTAAGCTGTACGATAATATAAAATAGGCATATATATTCATTTCATGTTTGTTTGATTTACCAAGGGTGATTCTTATTCTGTTAGGATGACATACTCGATACTTTGGTAAATGAGGGTGTTTATATAATGTGCTATTATAAATTATTTACGGTCACTATGTTCCAGTGCGCTGGATTAATGACGTCCCCGAAATGAGCTCTTGAATGAACATTATGTTAAACCCTGCAGGTGGACGATTGTCTGACATAATGGTTAATGAACTGAGTGGTACTAATTTCGAAAATGAATAAGAAGTTGATTAATTACTTTGTCAGTAATGTAATTAACCGACGGGCGTTAAATCTTAAACATAGGGAGGTACATCGATCAATTAGATTAATATTAATTAATCAAGTGGGGGTTCGAATTTATTGAATAAACTAGAAGCTAAATTGGGAGAGAAATAATATTACTCTAGTGGATGTTCTATTATTTAATTCTATTTAAATTAAGAAATTAATGTTATTCCATAATTAATATTCCATTAGGAAGGGAATATTCCTTCTAGAATATTACCTAGGATTAGGAGACTTGAGAATTAATGTTATTCTATAATTAATATTCCATTAGGAAGAAAATATTCTTTATAGAATATTACCTAGGGTTAGGAGACTTGAGAGTTTTCTAGAATGTGACAATTAGTAGGAGAATTCTATCCTTGTTTGAAAAAGTATATGGAGTAGATTTAAGATTTTTTAACCTAATGTGATAAACCCATATTTAGAACCTCTTTTAGGTCCCTAATGGAGCCTATAAATACACCAAGTACAAACCTCTTGAAGGATTATTATGCTGGCTGATTTTTCCTTCTTCATACAGAGAGACATCGCATTCTTCGAGAGTTAGGGAGATTCGATTAGTCGCACCACCAAGATTAATCGAAGTAGGTGTGTAACAACAAATTTTATGGAGAAAACATAAAACTTTTGTACAACTTGATTTTATTTCGATCAAATGATATTGCAGGTACAATCTCTATTTATCTCCTCTGATTCTTCTCTTCATGGATTTGGGTTTGAGATCTTGGAAGATGGATTTGACGATTGAATCTCCTTCGGGCTTGATCTTGAATTTATCTAACATTAATTTGGGGGTTGAATGACTTATTCCCATATTAAATGTTAGACCTTGACTTGATTGAAGAAGACTTCTTGGAGAACTTGTTTCTTTCATCTTCTGGAAAGAGGGACTTTGACTTGAATAACGTTGACTCGAGGGCTTGATAGTTTTTTCCCGGATCAAACGCTATGATGGTTGAACTTCTCAACGAACGCGGCTTGAATGTCGCTTGAACGTTGTTGATATTCTTGGATTGACTTGAGAGGAGTGACAGTCGTCTCTTTACTTCTTGGGGAAGAGTCGCCGCCTCTTTTTCTTCTTCTTAGCCTTCTTCTTCATTGAACAGACTTCGGGCAGTTTTTCAAGAACTTCTTCAAATCTTCAAAAGGAGACTTTGGGCGGTTTTTCAAGAACTTCTTCAAATCTTCAAGAGGGTTCTTGAGAGCACTTGAGTTTGAGACTTTAATCTTTGAGATTAGTTTGATATTTTTTAGGTGTGATTTGTGGCATTGAGAAGAGTCATATTTATAGGTGTAGGAGAGAGAGTCTTGGAGAAGAAGTCTTTAATCTGATTGGTCATTCATGATTTGACATAATCTCTTTCTTCTCCTAAGATTTGATATAATCTCTTTCCTTATCCTAAGATTTGACTTGGTGGGCAAGAAACAATTACTTTATTAATTAAATATCTTATTTATCTTGGATTTATATCCAAAAATAAATAAATACATTAATTGATAAAATATTAAAATTTCAATGTCTACAAATGCCCCATTGAGACTTGTTCACGGATAAAATGTCTTGGTAGCGAATGAGTCTCAAAATTTTGAATTTGGTTTGGACATGTAGATAGTTTAAACTCTTATCCAGGAGTTCTTCGACTTGAGTTTGTAGATAGTTTTAAACTCATATCAGGGAGTTCTTCATTTGACTTGATTTGTAGATAGTTTAAACTCGTATCAAGGAGTCTTCATTTGATTTGACAAATAGTTTATACTCGTATCAAGGAGTTCTTGATTTGACTTGATAGATAGTTTATACTCATATCAAGGAGTTCTTCATTTGGCTTGATTTATAGACAGTTTATACTCGTATCAAGGAGTATTTAATTTGGCCTGATATGTAGATAGTTTAGGCTCGTATCAAGGAGCATTTGAATATGCAGATAGTTTAGGTTCATATAAAGGAGCATCGAATTTGTAGATAGTTTAGGCTCATATCAAGGAGCATTTGAATATGTAGATAGTTTAGGCTCGTATCAAGTAGTATTTGAATGTGTAGATAGTTTAGGCTCGTATCAAGGAGCATTGGAATATGTAGACAGTTTAGGCTCGTATCAAGGAGCATTTGAATGTGTAGATAGTTTAGGCTCGTATCAAGGAGCATTTGAATGTGTAGATAGTTTAGGCTCATAGCAAGGAGCATATGTAGATAGTTTAAACTCATATCAAAGAACGTTTGAACTTGAAGTTGGATAGTTTTGGCTCATATTGAGGAGCTTTACAGACAGTTTAGGCTCATATCAAGGAGCATTTGAATATGTAGATATTTTAGGCTCATATCAAGGAGCATATGTAGATAGTTTAAGCTCATATCAAGGAACATTATATATGTAGATAGTTTAGGCTCATATTAAGGAGCATTATATATATAGATAGTTTAGGCTCATATCAAGGAGCATTTGAATATTTGATGGAACTCTTAATGTGAATTACCCCCATGCTTCATGGCTTCGGAAGACATCATTCTTCATTGCCCCCATGTATATTT